AATTTAGGCATCATCTACCTAATTTACAGAAATATATATACATATATATCTATGTACATAGTTTAAGATAGAACACTTTCAAACACTGTCTAATTTCAAGCCAACTATTCATTTCATTGGATGAGTTTCAATGAAAAGTTTGAGTAATTACGAGTAATTAACACAAAACTATCTTATTTAATTTTAGAGAGAATTCTATTTTTTAAATCTTGTTTCACCACATATTGCTGATGTCTGTCTCTTTTTCATAGTGAGAGACTGAACTAGCTGCCAAGACAAAGAAGAAGAGAGATTACAGAAAGTCTTTATAGTCTTATAAACAGCATTTATAAGCCTGAATCTTAACATTACAATAGAGTAATTACCTATTGGGAATGGAAAGGAGTAATAAAATATGTCAAGTGATAACTCCAAGCTATTACATTTCCTTTTAAGAGTTTATATAGTCTGGTTTAGCTAGTTTAATTTTTTATGTAACTCTTCACAATTGAAAGCTAAATCTACATGCAGACTCAAGGCCATTTAAGAAGGCTGCTTGGAACTGAGGCACAGTAAGCCACCCAGAACTCTAGATTCACCACACAGTTGAGAGATTGTCATTCAACATGCTAACACTGAGCTCCTTTCTTAACTAAAAATAATGACAGGGGAGATTCCACTGCGACCGTTAGTGCTCCTTTCCCTATAACATAGCAGTGCGTGGGTAAAAAGAGAGCCTATTCAGAATATATGCATGCATAAATCAAAGCAACAATGGGAGAGAAGACAGAAAGAGAAACACACCAGTTGCTGGAATCATCACATGGGCACATCACCAGTGCACTCTGGCACACATGCACTAAAGCCTGGTTAGAATACAGACACAGGTAGGCACCATCAAATAGCAACAAAGTCACATGATAAAACATGAGAACAGTAGACAATTTAAACCTTGGGAATCTATAATCAACACACCAAAGTTAAATGCTGGCAGATCTTTCCAAGTTATGCATGTTTACTATATAATAGACCCTTATCTGTATCAGAGAATAAACTACATGCATGCGCCTTTGTAGATACGTGGTCAGCAGTAAGATTACCCTAACACTGCAGAAAAAGCTCGCCATGAGAGTGCTGAAAAGCTGGACTGTGTGTTATGGATGCCAATATTCACAGAATCAGATCAGGGCACTCATTTCACAGAAAACCTAATACCAAAATAGGTTAATGCAGAACTCCCGCCTCGGGATCACCTGAAAGATACAATGACTTGCTTTAAAAAGGCTTAGGTTACTTACTAACAATCTAGACACCAAAATTTGGAGGAAAGAAACCGGGAAAGCAGGAAGGTCTCAAAAACATGTATACAGGAAATATGGTACGACACTGTCTATAGAAGCTATACTGCAACCACCGACAGAAAAAAAATTGGGCCACTCATAACACTCAGACACCAAGTTAAAGGGATAAGAACTAAGATGCTCAGAAACACAAAATAGTATGTAAAATATAGGTGAAATTTTAGCACTAGCTACTAATGAAACTTAGTAACAGAAAGTAAAGTGTGCCACAACAGATGAAAGAAAATAATTCAATGTCTCTAAAACTTATAGTCAAGAAAAATAAATTGCTTACTAACAATCTAAACACCAACATTTGCTTCCTGGTAAGCACACTGGATATAAGTGCCCAATGTCAGGGTGCACACTTAACAGCATCAGGGCTGTCCTCATAGTAAGGAGCCCGGTAATCTGCTTTATGCACAGCATTCCTGTTGGGCAGGGCACTAGCTGTGGCAAAGACTCTTATCGTAAGTCTCTTTGAAAGGCAAAAAGATCAAGTGAGGCTTAGAACTGTAAAAGTACTATCATTACTTTTTTGCAGAAATGAGCCCGTTAGGTCATCTTAAACCTGTTAACTACTACTAAGTGGATCAGGAGAGCTTGTTGCCTGTTGATCAAACTGTTTTGCTTATTGCTCATTTTAAGATCACATTCACTGCAGCTCAGTTCTGGCAACAGCAGCTGTGCCAACCTCCAACAGGGATGGCCACCCTCTGCCCAGATGCAAGTGCACTGTCTGTGATACCCTCCCTGTTAGTCACAGACACCATCCTGGGCACCTTACTGGAACGCAACACCAGCGTCATCAAACTTAACCTCTCCATCCCACAGCACCTTCAGCACCGTCTACTCTCTGGGAGTAAATCAGTAAAGAGACCAAGAACTGAGGAAAGGTGAAGAGGCGCTGGAAGCCTCTGCTTCAATTTCCACAAGAATCAGTGGGGATCCTGAAGACTAAATTCTTTTTTTTTTTGTTTTAAATTATTTATTTATTAATAGAGGCATGTTCCATTTATTTATTTGTCTGCTTGTTTGTTTGTTTTGTTTATACATGCACTGGGTACAGTCAGAAGCGCGGGGAGGGGTGAGAGAATTCACCAGAGCCAGAGTGGGGAGCAGAGCAGGCAGAAGGACCGAAGTACACTGCTGAGGGGAGCAGCGGGCGGCAGGAGAGGTCTGCGCGCCATGTGGGACCCTCCTCCAGTGGCCGGGGAGCAGCCGGGGATCGAACCGGCGCCGCAGAGGCCGTGGGCAGCCTCGCAACCCAGCGCTCAACCGCTGTGCCACCGGGGAGGCCCCTGAAGACTAAATTCTATTAGAAACTGTCCTAAAGGATGAAGATTGGCCTTCATCACTGACTCCTGGTATGGCAGCCCAGTGTATATACCACACGAACCAGGTCTGATACTTGTGGTCTTCCTTTATATTACTTTTTGAATTAAGAGCTGGACTAGACACAATAGACACAGAGGCACTAGACACTGGGACTCTGTGAAAACAAACATAATTTAATTCTTGATTTACTTTGTATGCTAGCACTTATTGTACAAGAGCAGTTGCTGACTATACAGAATGGGAATTTGGGTACCACAGCAAGACCCATTCCAAATCTGAAGGCCATTTTATTTACTAAGCCAACTTGCTTCTCTTGTTCATTCAGAATCTGGAGACTAGTCAGCTACCCACTTAGTATCCCCAGACATTGTGAGTTGCTTAAATTGCTTATTTTCTTATGTTTAATAGAAAAGAGTTAAAGAAAAATAGAATAAATGCAACACAAGTTAATCCTATCAGGACTATCACTGATCCTTACCCAGTATATCAAAATCTTATGCGATACAAAGGCAGATATTTTGCTTTAGATAGACTGAGCATGACTACAAGAGAATACAGAAGCACTTCCATACATACATACTAATAAGGCTATGTTAGATAAGATAATTAAACCATCACATAGAGAAATATCCTATTATCCCAAACTAAGAACAAACTACACACCCAGTAAGAAGGAATCTTCACATTCCATTGTAACGTGGAATATGTGTTAGGATGTAGTCATGGGTAATAAAAATACTTCATGAGTAGACAGTGTCATAGCATATCCATATGACAATAAATGGCACAATTATATCTTTAAATATAAATAAAAATTGATACCACCTCTGATACTATTTAATCCATATTCTTCTATTAGAAAATTAACAAAAGATCCAGGGACACAATGTCCATACTTTAAAAGAACAGGGATATCTTGTTAGATGTATAGAGCATATGCCATATGTCATCATCCTTGTTGCTATAGGTCAAACAAACCTCTCCTTCACAACATGTGTGAGTAAAACTTAGTCTATTACAACTTCTCATAGTCTCGCTGTAACCCACAATAGCCTTCTACGCCTTAACATGTAATATACAATACTATCAAGCCAGTTATAGATCCCCAAATTGTGCTCAATTTGACTCATCTGTATTCCCAGTTTACAACCCATGCCAAACACAGAATAACTGAAAAGAAGGAAGTCCTTACAGTTCCTTGTCGGACAGGTAGGTGGTTTAATTGGCAGAGCAATGGCAGTGGCTTTGCTCAGTTCCAAAGCAATCAAGTGACTTTAAATTTTGAAAACTCTGAAGTCACCCAACATCAATTTAACATACATGTGATGGCAGCTCTGTCATAATGAGTAGCAGACAAATAAAAATAGCAATGTTACAAAATATAAATGAATTTCAGATGGAAATAAATAGACCAATGGTATTATAAATAAAGCAATTGGAGAAAATATTAAAAATGAAATAAAAATGTTTCTTGATGCAAAAACAAGTATAAATATTCAGTTGCTAAAGCTAAGTGGGATTGTTATGTGAGTACCCTTAAAACAGCTATAACCTCTGAGGAGATAATAAAGCAACAGCAACTAGGGTAGACACTACACATCCTAGCGCCTGTGATCCTTCTGCAAATGTGAAATTAGAATACTGACGCTTCGAAGAGGAAACATGTCATGGCATCACCACACTTTCGCAGTTCCCCAAAGTCAAAGTGGAGCCCACAGGTCACAGAACACTCCCACATGCTAGGAAGGATGTGCTGGTGGAATGGAATCCAAATGCCTTTACCACCGCTTGCTCTGTGCTACAACTGTGGGACAAGTACCGTGATGACAGCCTGGGGACCTCCTCAGCCCACTAACGGCCCAATGGGAACGGGGCCATGGCCGCATGTGAAGGGGTAATCTCACACTAACCCGGCGTAGTCAAGTGGAAAACAAGGAACCAAGATGATGTAGTGTGTTAAAATAGAGCAGGATGTGACTGTGACAACAGAGGGGGAAAAAAGGCATTATTCAAGGTGAACAGAAGGTAGAGGAACCATTAATAAAACCAGAGAAATATTTCACTTTGAACCTCCTCAAATTAACAGAGTAAATAAACCATACCATGAGAAAAATTAAGACACAGAAAACAATACCTGGAAGATGAGGCTGATAAAGCAATAATAACTGCAGGACTTGAAAAGACAACAAAAATGCATTTCCTAAGCCAATGGCAGCCCGGCACTCCCCTGTTGGGCGATGGAACGAGCACCTGCCAGGGCCCTGCACGTCTGCACCCCCGAGTTTCATGAAAGCGATAACTACACGGAGACACAATTCTCAAGGAAGCTTAAGAAAAACTTACCTTTTGGTCTTGAGGCTTGGATCCGGCACTGCATTAAAGAACTGGCCTGTTTTTACCAATGACGCGAAGAACATCCCCCTGGTGGCGCAGCGGTTGAGCGCTGGGTTGTGAAGCTGCCTGCAGCCTCTGCGTCACCAGTTCGATCCCCGGCTGCTCCCCGGCCACCAGAGGAGGGTCCCACATGGCGCGCAGACCTCTCCTGCCGCCCGCTGCTCCCCTCAGCAGTGTCCTTCGGTCCTTCTGCCTGCTCTGCTCCCCGCTCTGGCTCTGAATCCTCTCATCCTCCAACACTTCTGACTGTGCGCAGTGCTTGGATAAATAAATCAAAGAAAAAAAAAAAAGAAGAAGAAAAAAAAGGGCCATTAAACTACGGGCAAAGGAAAGTGCATCCAAGAAAAACGTCACCCATAAAGTCCAGCACCGGGGCTGTAAGTGCTCAGGGGCCGCGGGAGGACAGAGGCGTGAGCGACCGCGTCGCGAAGGACACCAGGCGCCCAGCGGCGCCCGCCCGCCCCCACGCCCGCCCCCCGGAGCCCGACGCCCGGCAGGCCTGCCCCGAGCTGCGGCGCGCCAGGCCCACGTGCCGAGAACGCGCCGCGACGGCGCCGTCCCGCCCGCCCGAGCACCGCGCCGAGGCCCGCGTCAGCGCTGGCTGCGGCCCCCGCCCGGCCCGGGCCTCGAGGACTCACCGCGCTCGCTGCCACGCGCGCCCGCCGGTCTCGGGCCCCCGCCGCTCCGGGCCGGCGCCCGCCTCGCGGCGGCTCCGCCGGCGGAGTCCAAGCCCGCGGGGCCCCGGCTCCGGCTCCGGCTCCGGAAGGGCCTCGCCGCGGGCGGCCGCAGAGTCGGGGAGCAGAGCAGCGCCGGCGCCGCGGGCCTGGCCGTGCCCGGGCGATCAGGGCGGCCCACGAACGTCCTCGCGTCCACCGGCTTCGCTGGGCCCGGAGGGCGGCGTCGAGGCCTCGCCAGGCCGGCCTCCGGCACGTTCCGCCCAGGCCGCGGGGCATGACGGGCGGGCGCGCTGCATGACGGCCCCGGCGAGCCAATCACGGCCATGCGCGCGCGATCCACGTGCCCACACGCGTCAGTGTCCCGCCCGCGCCCCGGAGCCTGCGCCGGCCGAGCAGGGACGGGCCGCGCGGAGCGGGCGTGGCCAGGCCCAGAGCCGGGAGAGGCCGCAGCGTTGGCCCAGCCCGAGGCCGAGTGCGGCCCGGGTCGCCGCGGGCGTGAAGGTGAGACGCGGGCGCCTGTGCGGGCGGGAGGGGGCTCGAGGCCGAGGGATCGGGCCGCCCGGGCCTGGGATCTGGAATTTCCCGGCGCCTCCCGGCCCGAGCCGCGTCCCCCGACAGTCAGCTCGAGGGGCGCGTGCGGGAGCCCAGGGCGTCGCGCCGCCGATGTCAGGGCCTCCCAGCCCCGCGCGGCCGGGGTGGCGGGAGAGCGGGGAGGCCGGCCCAGCCGGGGAGGTCGTGCCCGCGCAGCCAGGGCCACGCAGCGCCAGCCGGCGGGCGCGGGTCTCCGCTCGGACGCAGCAGGTGCCCGGAGAAGGGACCCCGGAAAGCCGGCTCTGGGGTCGCGGCGGCGCCCCGCCCGGCTGCGGTGGCCAGAGGCGGGGACCAGGGGCGCCAGCTGAGGCCCCATCCTCGAACACCCAGGGCGAGGGGTCAGCGTCTCGGCGCCCGGAACCCGCCTGCAGACCCTGAGCTCGCGCTCCCCGGGCGCGCTGACTTGGAACGTGGGGCGCCATAGCCGGGCCCGGCCTCCCTGAGGGCCCCTCCCGCCACGCAGGCCCTCGAGCCCCTGTCCGCGGTGGCGGGGCCTTCAGGACACCCCCTCCCACCCCCCCCCCCTCCCCACCCCGCCCCCTGCCTCTCCCCACTCCCCCACCTCCTCCCCCTTCCGCAGGCCCTCGACACCCCACCCCACTCCCCACCCCCTTGCCCCACCCTCTCCCCACCCTCTCCCACCCCCACCCCTCCCCACTCCCACTCCTCCACCCCTCCCCCCTTCCACCCACCCACCCCTCTCCCCAGGCTTTGCGCCCTGAGGCCGCTTAGCAGGTGCAGGCTTAGAAAGTGTATTTTGTTCGTTTTTTTTCCCCCTAGCAAGTTTTGATTATTTATTTTGAATCCCTGCTAGACGTTCTGAGTTCAGTGTTTCTTGGCGTTATTAGCAAACCATTGAGTGTCTTTTAGTAACACAGCTGTAAAGTGCTTCAGCCGAGGGCTGCAGGAGAGTGGCAGAGGCCCAATCTGTTGTTTCAAACTGCAGGCTGTAAAACTAGACGGATTTGGGTTTGAATGTTGCTGCTTCCTGAGCTCACTCTGAAGGAAGAAAGCCCTCTCAGATTCCACTGCTTTACCTATGAAATGGGGATGATCATCTTAATCGCCTCTTTCTTTCCCTGCGTCCCCATGTTACCGAATGGATCCTGCAGAGGGTTACTGTGTGGTGCCTAACGTCTTAAATCTGAATAGAATCTTGCCATCCATTTTCCCTTTATTTTTTATTTTAAGAAGATTTTCTGCATTTAAATTTCCTCTCAGTGAACATAGGTATTTCTCTGGGCAAAATTGACCTGATCGTTTTCAATAGAGAACATTTCAGAAGAAACATCATGATCTTTAAAAGCTAAGTTTCCTCAGAATACAAGCTTGATGTATTTAGCAAAGTATTTCATTCTCCTTTAAATCAAATCTTTTGTGCTGAGTCAAAAAGGTGGAGAAAATTCTGCATGGGAGATGAGATGTGCCATAGTATTCTGTTGCAGCTTTTTCTTTTTCTTTTTTTTTTTTTTTTTTGGTGTATTCTTTTCATGGATGGTTGTTCTAAACAACCTTGTGGTAAAACTAGTACTATTATATCCCATTGGGGGAAATGATAAGTAGCTCAAGTTTTGTGTTGTTATGTCACCTATTTCCTTAAATACCAATAGTAAAATATAATGCCATTATACTTTGGCTATTTTTCAACATACTTGAGGGGGAAGAGCTGATATTCAAGAGATGTCTCTTTTTGTTTAAAACTATATTGGGTTAATATACACCATAGAAAAAGACATGAAGATTTTGTCAAGTAGCTCTTTATATTTTAAATGTTATATGGTTAGAATAGATATGCAGCCCTCCATTAAAGTACAGTAAGATTCTGACATTTTGAGGGTATCAGCTGATAACATTGCTTTCATGATAGGAAAAAAATGACAAAAAGATTTAACAAGTATGTCTTTAATTGAAGAATTAAAACTTAGAAGCAGGCAGAGATATAAACTATACAGATAAGAAAATATTAAAGAAAAAAGTAGACGATTATAAAAGGGATTTTAAAAAATCATTTAAAGAATTTAATTTTTTTGAGAAGTAAGGTTTAGTGCAGTTTTTAAATGGGGTAATAAACCAGAATTGGTGTTTTAAATGCCAACATTCTAGAATTTAAGACAAAATATGAGCTGATAGTTTTGAAGGACATCTCTTAAAAAAATATATGACCTATGATAAATTAATGAATAAGATTGTGATTGTAATAATTTTTATACAGATAAATAAGTCTTCATCAATATTTCCCCTTTATTCTTAACATTTTAGGACCTTATTCATATTAAATATTGGCCCTTGTTCTGAAAATAAACATGTTGTTTTATATATTTGAATGTCATGTTTTGCATGAGTTCTTAACCCAAATTAAGTATTATACTTTGGTTTTTATTTGAAATATTTGTACAGATTATATAGCACAATTCAAAAACTAATTGGAGTGAAATATAAGTTATTGCAATTTTTTCAGACTTTAAGAGCAATCTACTGTTAAAAATCATTTTGGACAAATACATTAAAAAAAGAATATATATTAAAGACCATCAGCTAAGCTTCAATGACATTAACATGCTCTACCTATTTCCTTCTAATGTGTGTAATTTTGGGGCATTTTCTATAATTTTCTGTAATTGTGTTTGTGGCCAGTGTAGTATCAGGTCACATTTTGTTATTTTTATCTTGTGTGTTGAGCTAAGTTATCCATGTTATTTTGTGCCTCCAGGGAGCATATTACATTGTCTTACTTAGTATTTATAGCTAGATACGTTATGGTACATGGAGATATCCCAGAGTATTACTTGGATTCCATCCATTTCTCTATAGCAGTATCTCCACTTCTTGATTATTAGGTCAGTCATATTGTTGAAGTAAATAATAATAGTAATAATAGTAAAACAACTGAAACACTATAGACTGTCATCTATAGTAAAGAAAATAATGTTTTTGAGATGTAATAATAGGTGTAAGAATGAGACATACAAAAATGTTCCTCTATCTGTATTCTCTGGATTATCTGTGGAGATACAATGTTCTGGATATGTCTATGGAAATATAATGTTCTGACTAAGAAAAGGAGAGCAGCGTGTATTTGTCATTGGTTTTGATAATAAACAAAATTTTACAGAAAAGCCAACTTAACTCTACCGGGTGTTAAGTTTTCTGCTGGAACAGCCAGAGCTGAATGTGAATTAAACACTTAATAAACAGTTGTTTGTTTCTATACATTGGAGCAGTGAAACTAAGCATTGTTTCTTCAAATAAATATCTTAATTGGTGGCAGGATATGTAAAGGAGCATGATAATTTATGAAACATTTAACTAGGCCAAAGTTGGAGATCTTTGACTAAGCATGATTAATGTGAAAATCCAAATCTATAAAAAATTGGTCCGATAAAGAAAAATCTCTACTACAGCTGGTATCTTGGAGCACCTTGTAGCTGGCTATTCACCTGAAGTGTAAAGCCATACTGAGGAATGAGATTGAGCTATTTTTGCTAATAATTGAATATTTGTAAATGTTGGTGACTAGGCCAACTTGAAAAGTTAGAAATAAGATTTCCCTCCCAATTTGTATTCTTTTTTGGTGGAGTACCTTTAAAAAATTCGGAAAGAAGAAATAAAACTATTACTATTTTCATTTTGCATAATCATATACATAGAAAACCCCCTAAATATGCCAGTGAGTAATTATTTTTCTTAAGATTTATTTTTATTTATGCATACAAGAAATGGGATGTAGGCCAGAGGTGCACGGGTGAGAGGATACAGAGTGGGGAGCAGAGCAGGTGGATCTGCTGAAATACACTGAAATACACTGCTGAGGGGAGCAGCCGGGAGACAGGAGAGGTCTGCTGAGCCATGGGGGTAGTAGCTCTCTGGCTGGGGATGCC